GAGCTGTTTCTACTTTTTTGCAAAACGAAAAAAGTGCACAAAAACAATCAGAGTTCAGGATCCCAACCGACGCCTTCGATTCGCGCGAATAAATTCGCCTAGTGAAATCGAAAGCTCCCGGCTTTTGGGAGCTTTCGATTTGCGCGACGCTAGAACGGAATCATTCATGTGTGACCGTTCTACCAGGCATCCTACGTTCTATGTATACGTAGATTTGTGCAAATTGCGTCCTAGAAACCACGCGACGAGGAGAACTTAACGTTCTCGCATGTGCAGATGACTTTCAGGGACGTCATTACGTTTCACGTCCTACCCTCGTCGTGCAATCGAAAACTCCCTACTATTGAAAATCCCACAAAACGACAACGCAAAAACGTCCGTAAACACGTGCATTTGTGTAGAGAACAAGTGGGACACAAGCGCGTATTCCTGGCCCTTTTTTTTATTGGTCCGTACCAAACGTTTTAACACATTTAGTATTTTGTATATAACACACTTGACAAAGGCACTACAATACATTTAACACAGTTTTTATGTAACAATAGCTCATGGACAGAACTTTACGTCATGTGATGCCCTAAAAAAGGCGGGTGTTGAGTTTAATGGTGTTTACACGATTGATCCCGATGGTCCGAATACTGGATTGGATCCATTCTCGGTAGTCTGTGATATGACATCAGACATAACAATGGGTAGGTATTGTTAACGTTTTGATGAACGTAGGCCTACTTTCAATGTAGACAAAGAAAATCAATTGCTTTACCTTGGGTTTTTATTGACGTTCATGTTTGAAGAGTAAAGGTAAAGGTAGGAGAGTAAGCCATAATTTGCAGCGTCATTGTGCTGAATTGCGTAGGCCTATATGGGTGGGCGTGGTCCGTGCCTACCGAGCAGCTGTGAAGAGGCGATTCATGGTAGCTACATGTTCACATCATTCCACAACGACAGGGGCTGAAATGAACCATAACATCGGGGTAACCCCCTACTCTCCCGAAAGATGCAATGGGTTATTTAAAGTGCACGCGAGCCATATACACTGGACCTCCATTGTAAGTCCATATCCGAGAAGAATTGGTTCTATCAACTGAACCATGGGCGAGAAGTGGCTGTAACCAGCGCCGATGTTAATGTTACCGCTCAGCCACTCTACTCGCAAAGTACTGACTTGTTTAGTGTCACGCTAATACAATTTCATAATTCGTTTATTTGAGGGGGTTTATTACAAATGAGAATCAGAGGGGGCGTTTATTCGAGGAAGCGTTTACTTAAATTCAGAAGTTACGATCTGCAACACCTTTTTGAAGTTAGTTTTAAGACTATTTATTAAAATAAGAGTAAATAATTAAGAAACTAAACTCTAGGAATTTTTCAAATCTGCTTTCTTAAGTTGATATATTTGAAACTTTAGTATGTCCAAAGAGTAGAGAATACTATTTAATGTTCTTTGGTACTGTATGTCCGTGGTTAGACTTGATTCTAGTCCCTAAAATGATTTTGGCAACAATGACGTTCCATATTACTTACTTGCATAGAGTTCCATACTATACTTTTTCGGGGTTTATATATTATGTTATCAATAAAATGTGTGGTGTTGACTTTTGTAAAGTAATAAGGTACTTAAGATGATACATGACCCATCATGTACCTCCTTCAAATTTACTGTACACTTTCAGGCATCTTTAACTGCTAGAGATAACACAAAATAACAATAAATTCGAGACTTGAGGCAAGT